TTTGTAATTGGATCTTGTGTTAATCCATAAATATAAACTTTATCATAAAACTTTGTATAATTTTTGAACTAAAATAAAAAAATTAAATATTTAATTACAATAATAATAATCAAAAATGTGAAATTTAGTTTTTAATAAAATAACTTACCTCATTAAGAAATTCATCAGAAATATTCTGTGAATCATGTAATTTTTTTAATGCCACAGGCATATCCTTGCTAGTTCTTTCATTATTATCATTTATATATTTCCAACCATTTAACCAAGTAGCTTTGGATATAGTTGCAAACCCACCTTCACCTATCTTTTCAATATTTATTAAATCATTATAAGGAATCCATTCAAGATAATAATAATTATCATACATAATTGCTTGAAGTTGTGTACTTTTAATCAACTCATCTAATGTTTCATTACCACTAGTCCATCCTTCAGTCAATAGCTTTGGATTGCATGATTGGCACCATGAATAATTAGTATTATATCTATTGCAAGCTGAACATTCCCCATATTTTTTATCTCTTTTCTTTGAATATTCATCATCATCATTTTTGTCAGTAAAAGTATCGTCATGATGTTTATTTTCATCCAAAGTGTTTTCCATCTTTAAAAATTATTTTTGGAAAAAAATTTTTTTTTCTAAAAGCCACAAATATGTATCACACAAATATTTATATTATTATATGGGGCATGCTTGCAATAAAACCAGACAAAGTGAACATTTGTATTACCGAGAATTTCAGGGATCAAAATTTAGTAATGTGATTATTAAAATCCCCCATTTGTTATATTTGTTCTTAATATTAAGTGATATATAGAATTTCTATATAAAAATAATTAATATGAAGTTAATTTACATTAGGTCTACCATGGAACCCAAGAATTACAGCACCATTAGGGGTAAATTTTAAACGGAGTAACGGGGTTGACTGTGTGGTTTGTGGCCTAGTACTAGGTCCTATAAATTATTAATAATAATAATGACATAGCAAAAATCAGAAAACACGAAAAATTTGCATGCATATTCTACAGGACCTAGGCTACAAGCCATATATACTTATTATGTGTGATTTTGCATTATTGATTCTCTGAAATTTGCTGTTACCATTTGTTCTAATAAAATCTATTTGAATCTACTAAAACAAATAAACAAATGGAAAAACTTATTATTTATCAAAAAAAGAAATAAAGAAACTTTAAAGTATATAAATATGGACTGAGATTGATGTATCAAAAAAATTTTGCGACATTAAAAATAATTAAATTTTATATTTTGAATAAATTCTTTAAAAACAATGCTGTTTAAATTGACTACTGCTTGTGCCAAAAGAACAAAATTAATTATTTCGTTAATAAAAGCTACTTGTTTGTTTGTTTTTTGATTTTAGTATTAATGCACAGTTTCTATTCATAATACAAGTTTCGCTTTATATGCTTTATATGCTTTATATGCTTTTATTTGAATTACTATTCGTTTTATTTGCTTTGTTCGTTTTATTCGTTTAATTTCGTTTTATTTGCTTTTATTAATAACAATTCGAATAATAATAAACGAATGATAATAATAACAATTCTAATACACGGTGCGAACCTCGATCTAGCGGATTTAAGGGTTTAACGGATAAATTTTCAAAACCAAAGTTTTTCTATAATAAGTAAATTCGTGTAATAGTAACGACGCATTTTTTATCATTTTAATCAATCGAACTATAGAAAAAGCTCAAATCGTTAAATATTTATTAAAATTTGACTGAATTCTTTCCAGATTCTTTGAATATATTAAAAAACCACTATTATTTATAAAACCGTGGGTTGAAATAATAATAATGTTAATAACAAAATCACCCCATTCCAACTCTAATTATTATATTTAACACCCGGTCGGTACTCGTTTAGAAGTAAAATAAACAACTAATGAGAAGATAAATCTTGAGTTTAATTTCTGCTTTAATGAATAGTTCGGGTCCTTTATTAATTACATGAAAAAAACTAAACTATAATTTTATTTAAACATCATTACTATTACTATTATCATTAATGATTAATTTTTGTGCACATGTCCATGAATTTTAATTTTTTGGTGAGCATCAGTATCGATGGTAACGTTAGCGTCAACCTCCTTATCGTTATATTTGTCAAGTAAATCGCTAATTGTTTGATGTTGAAGGTATGCGATTGATGGCGAGTCTGGTTCGCGGTCAGCTTTTACCTTTGTTAACAAATATGAATTTTTGATATGATTTATAAAAACAATTGTATTCGGTGCCAATAAAATAAAACTTAAAAAAATTAAAACTTACACATGCCTCACTATCAGAAGCTAAAGCTTCATTCCATCCAGGCGCGTGCTTTAAAAAACCTTTAACTTTTCCTTTGAGAAATAAATAAAATAAAAGTTATTTCTTCTCATAACAATTCATTGATCAATCAATCAATCAATCAATCAATCAATTATTCACCTTCCAGTAATCGGTTTTTTTCTTTTTCCAAGATATTGGGACTATCATCTGAAATATGGCTTTACAAAAAAAGCATTAATTTAATTTAATGATTTATGTGCCTGACGAGCACAATTGATTTGTTTTTTTTCTTCACCTTTCAATTGGTGTATACCATCTTCTACTACTATATTGACAACCACTTTTTAATAAATTAATCGACAATTTTGTTGTTTTATTCATGATTATTTTATTATAAAGAAATGTTTAGGAAATTTTTTTTTTATTGATCCTGGGAATTTATATGTTGGAATTATTACATTGTTAGTACGACATAATGTTTAGTCCATTTATATAATTCGCATGTGATAATGTTTAAAGTGATGTCATTATGATTACGCGCGAAATTCAAATCAGCCAATCAACACGCATGGGAAATTTTTGAACTGAAATTTCTTATGGTTAGTATTAGGGTTTTGCTCGGTCATAATATAAATCAGATCGTAAAAAAATCACAAATCAAGAAATAAATATCTGTGAATTATTTGGAGAGAAAAGTCCATGCAATAATAACTATGAAAACGGTAAAAGAAATCCAAGATTGAAATGGAGATTAAAGAACAATGAGAGTGTAGTGTAGGTTTGCGCCGGAATGACCATATACTCATGAATGACTTTAGGTCTGAGTTTTTTCTTCCGTGCAATCAATTACTCGGGCAGTTTTTTTCTTAATAAAATCAAAATAAGAACAAATTCTTTTTTTTTTCTGTATCATATCTATTACAATGCTGGGAAACAAAACGAGTTTTGTATTTGACTGCAAGTATTTTCATCCCATGTAACAAAAACTAATCACCAATCAAATTCGAAGACTTAGTCATGTAAGTAATATATTCGCGTGAAACCGACTTGTGGTTACTCGATTTATTTATTATAGTGATTGTAATATATTCGCGTGAAACCGACTTGTGGTTACTCGATTTATTTATTATAGTGATTATAATATATTGGGAATGAAAAATTTTGGCCAAGTTAGGCTAAAACTAGCTTATCGAGTTTACATGTGTGCAAAAAATTAATTCATGGCTTCTTGAATTACAATAGCTTTAAAATAAAACATCAACTTTGCCATTACTATTTTTAATTGTTAAATTACCATTTGTAAACCCAAGTACATAACATCCGTGATTTTTTTATTCCAAGATGATATCTTGTGCGAGTTGTAATTTGATTTTTTTTCACTATGCCTTGAAGCTGTACAAAAAAATCCATTGTTATTTTGATCGCTATTTTTTTCATTACCATCTTCACTATCAATTTCGTGATCACTATCTTCGTCCTGATCAATTCCACTATCACTATTTGAATGATCAATTTTTACTATCATAATCATGATAATTTTCTAAAGGAAATTTTTTTTTTAAACCATGCTTTTTAATAGATGATTGGATGAGTTAATCCATGCATCCTTTACTGGGGTGTTAGATAAGGACCCCGATTATATTTACGCGTTTTTTTAATAAAATATTTGATTTGCAAAAAAAACAAGTATTTGATACAGCAGATAGAGATTTTACAATATCAGGTTTGAAAATCAAAGATGTATAAAATAGAAGATGTCATTTTTATTTTTGGATATCAATGGCATGCATGCCTTGTTAAAATAAGAATAGTAAAATTATTCAGTACCACAACTCTCATAATCTTCACCATTTGCCTCTATTTTATTCTCATTTTTATTGTTGTCAACATTGTACAAATTTTCTACTACATCATCCGCACGACCTTTCATTTATTATTACTACCATTACTGACAACTGTTCTCATTGCATTTACCAGTTTTGTTTTCCTTGATGTACTTGATTCTTCTATATATATATCGCAGCACACACTTCTCTTTTTTTTTTACTCAAGTCACTGTCAACATAATCCACAGTCTTTCCTGTCACTGTTAGAGCTTGTGAATTTTTCTTCAAAATCCAGATGTCTGGGTTTCAACGCTTTGCACAGAGATCCATTTTTGTCATTATTGTTGGCACTCTCAACACTTGAATAGGCCTGCTCTATTTCGTTTGCAATAATTTGCACAAGCTTTCTACCCAGAAAGACCTCATCCGTCATAGAAAAAAATCGTTTTCCCATTTGTAGCATTGGCGACGCTACCATGATGACCATTGTTAAGATTGTAAAAACAGAGAGGGTTGTTGTATATGTATGTACCTGTGAGTGGTTGATGGATTTTTGAGACACAATAAAATAATGTTTGTTGCCTTGGCTTCTTGAAGGTGTGATACATAGAGCAGTGATGACACCAAACAAAAGGACTGGCTGACAGGTCATTTTTAACCCATAATTTTCAAGTCAAGAAAGGTCGTTTGAATTACTATGACCTGGAGTGCGTGTAACAAGAAATATGTTATTTTAATCATACAAATAATTGTGATTCGTTAAATATGTACAGTATTTTCCTACAAAAGTTTTTTTTCGTGAACACGAGTCAACAATTTTTTTTTTTGTATTAGCATCATATTACTATTACTATTACATATTAGTAATTTCCGTGATTATGATTAGTGGTAGTTTTGCAGCGTGATGAATTCGTAATAATAATAACAACGAGTTGCAAAAAAAATTTCGTAAGGTGATTTACTTATATGACAAATAACATTACTATTACAAAAACCATAATTATAAAGTAACAACAATATAAGAATAGTATCATAATAAAAATCTTCAAAAAGCATAACGCATCATTTAAAAAAAAATGCGTCTATTTATCACAAAATTTAGAAACAATTGATAATTATTATACTAGCAATAATAGTATATGTAGTTGTTGTACGAGTAATATTTGTAGTGGTTATAATAATAACAATAATTAATAATTATCATAGTAATTGTAATTGTAATAGCCATGGTGACTGTAGTTGTAATTATAATAGTTGTATTGGTAGCGTTAATGATAATATCATCTATAATAATGTCATCAAATATTTGGAGAAAATCTCTCAAATAACGCAGGAAGAAAATTTAATGAAGTTTGGAATTTTTTTTCAAGGTCATTACACTGCATAGCATAATTTTTGTAAAGTTCTTTGGAGTAGAGCCTGTGTATATGAACTGCAAGCTCGCTTATTAGAGCTTTTGTTTGTGGTGGAGTATATCATTCAATGTAATCAATAATCCTTTTTTAGAGAATTTCTATGTAAATAAGACCTAATTACAGTCCACCATCACGACAAATACTTTCTGGTCAAATGTTAAACAATGAGATAACACCAGTAAATAATTCTATGAATTCCGAATTGAACTGAATTTTGTTGAGAACCCAACAATTGATAAATATATGTGTATATATTATGTATTTTTTCAACTTGTCCAGGATTAACAAAATTGATTTCAGGATTAGATGGTTGGACATCACCAAATTCACTTATTATAATAATTTAATTATGACTAGTGAAAAAAAAGAATATTATATTGCCTTAAAGATTACTCTAAAGAACATCATACAGGACAATTTTTAGCCAACGATATTATCTCAATTATAATAAAAGTTGGTACAAACAAATTCGTGGAAATAATGGTTCTAACGTAAAACTTGCTATTATAAATCCATACTCTGCATATTTGTTTTGATGGTAGTTTAAGTTTTTTTTTCATTTACCATATTATTATAATTATTGATGAACTCGTTAATCTTGAATAGTTCTTTGCTTTCTTTCAATCAGAAATTGGATTAATATCAAAAAATCCAGTTAATTGAAAACCAAGCAGACAGTCTTAACCATTAAAGGAGAGTATAATTTACTTACTTGTGATTGCTTTTGTATAGAGGAGCTCTTTTATCTATGAAATAAGTAAGCCATTAATTTTAACTCTAAAAATATTATATATGCAAACTGGAATAGCTCGTAAAAAAACAACCACACTCAAATAATACTTGCTCATTATTTTCTTTTTCAGCTTTCTTTGTTTGTTTACCTCTAACATATTCAATTGATGTTGTGAGTGAAAATTAAATTTGTGAATTTAAAATTGACACACGTGAAATTCAAATTTAAATTAGAGTGACGATGAGCGGTGACCACCACCACCACCACCATTCTTAAAACACTTACTCTTGATCCTCAACAATTTTTTTTGAATGTTTTCTTTTATTACTTTCTTTAAGGCATCTTTAAAAAAAGAAACTAGAATGATGACGAATGGTAATAACCGTTACCACTACTCTTATGATAAATACTGGTTTCTTGATTTCTCTTTCTTCTTTTGTGTTGCCCGTAATCAAAGACATTCTTATAAAAATAATTAAAAAAAAAAAACAAACACGTCACGTAAACAATATTAATAATATTATTATTGGCACTTGGTGTTGCACACATATTTTTTTTGGGAGGATAGACGCTGTAGTGATGATGCTGAAACTCGGGAAAAAAAAGGTTATAGAAACTAATAATTCGCAACTTAATCACTGTGCCAAAACTCAATCATTATAATTTGTTGCCAAAGCTTCAATTTTTTGTTGAAACTATTTTATAATGATTAGATATTTTCTTTTGAAACATATTAATTATTGTTGAAATACAAGAAATTTTATTATTATTGTAAAACACTTAATATTATTATTATTATGTATAACAACGAATTAATTATTGGAAATATTAATATCATAATACAAGTCAATCCCATTATAACAACACTCTCCGTACAGGCAAAAAATGTCAGTATTAGTCGTGTGACATTTCCCTGAGGCTGCTTTTCTATATGTGAAAATAAATTCGAAATTCGTGTCACATGAAGTT